TCTGTGGCTCTGTATTGCATCAGTCCATGATCGTTGCTTTTTTCTCTTATTTGTATTAGTCGGCATGACAACCGACGACAAATAATGTATAATGTGTCGAGCTAAATCTAGTTCTGCATTGTTGTCAAAGGTTCGAATATTCTGAAGTATGGAACTCGCCAAATACATTATATAGGCTATTTAGGTGAATTCTTCTTCCGTCGACAATATCATGCTAATGATCTGATAATTAAATTTGTCGAAATAATGGCTGAAATCTTTCCCATTTCTGATAATACATATCAATAAAGAAAATTGAAATAGAAAATGAATGCGTGGCCGCCGTTAGGCGGCCGGCTACACAAATCGAGTTTTTAAGCACAGCTGTTATACGCATTCATTGCCGGCCGCCTCGATGTATCTATAGAAACAATAAACAATCGGCGAGTCGTATACATACTGCAGATTTTTTGTCAACAATCGGCGAGTCGTATATATATAACAGGCACGTAAGTGTAGATAGAATTCATTGTAGTAACAGCGATATTTGTGATATTATATGGTACAACTTTGGAACCAAGTAAGGCATTGTGTTGAAATTTGGTTTATATGTATTTATGGACATTGAAGAACACATATTTACAATACAAAATAAAAATTTATTTCTCATAATTTTCTATGGTATGGTAAATTCTGAAACAATTCCCAATATACATAGCAGGTTGATTTATACATGTTTCACAATAAAATGTTGTTTGACGTCTTTCTCCTGGTGTTTTCCTGTCGGAACAAATAATGCAGTCCCGGTTTCTTTGGCCTACATTTGGAATATGTAGCTTATTATTCATTCTATTGTCCGACAAAGAACGTTAATTTATTTAGATTATAACGAAGATAGCAATAGGAATGGTTCGACTTTGAATGAAGTTTCGATTTTACGTTTATAGTTTTTTACGTTTACGTTTTATATTCTTTATGTTAAATAATTTTAGTAAACATTAAATAATATAGTTTATATAGTTACGTTTATTGTCCACGTGTTTGAATCCGACCATACGCCTCTGACCATCCTCGACAATCCTTCCACTTCCAACGTAAAAACGGCTGATATATTTCTCATTTTAATAGAATATTTCCCATTTTAATAGGAAAGTACAGGAAAACATGTGTTTCTTAAAAAATTGCGGTGAAATCAGTTCATTCTCCTTAATCACTAATAAACTTTCATGTCCCCTCAGAGGGGACAACCGAGTGCAAAGGGTTAAAATATGTTCATAAAATATTATCGTTTTAAAACGTGTATTTCCGTAAAAACAAATTTTTGTAATTTTTTCTTCATTATGGTATATTGCTTATACATTGTATATGCCTACACAGGTCGGAAAGTAAAAGATGCCTAGGCAGTCGAGAATCTCGGCTCGAGAATATGCGAGATTGAATTTCAGCTGTGTTGAGAGCAAGAAGGATAGACTGACATTCGCCGCCTTTCTCGAATCTACGAAGCTATACGAAACGCCAGAACTCATATACAAGGTGGTTGGCATTAGTGTGTGTGAGTGGTGGGGCAGTTCCCTTTGGGCACGGGGCTGCCGTCTGATAATACTCCACTGTCTTTTCCAATCCCTCCCATAATCAACTCACATGTATTTACGTACACACTCAGCTGGCTGACCATCAATACTAATTCAGTGCCTAGTTTCTCAACTAACCGCCATCCATGAGAAGAGGCCGCTAAAATCAGCTCCGAATTTTCAGGTCGGTATGGCAGTCAGATTCGGCCGCGAAAGTCCATAAGGTGAAAGGTCTATTCATATATCTCGTCTGTGGCAGAGAATATCTGCTGTAATACCGACCTGCCGAATCGGCGAGGTCACGTGCCGTGTCTTTCCCCTTATATAGTGTTGAAATATAGCTAGTTAAAACAAAAGATAGTTTATCGAAAGGCCCAACATAACCTTCAAAAGTATTCAATTTAGTAGAGTCGAAAATGGCAACAGGTAAGATGCATATCTGACACTGCATTCTTTACGAATGCCAACAAGTGAAAAATGCTGCAAGAGCATGCGAATCGATTTGTTGTTTTCTCGATGGAGGTGTTGTATCGTATGATATGTGCACATTTTGGTTTAAGCGGTTTAAAAGCGGTGATTTGAATCTAATCGACAAACGATGCCCTGGAGGCCCTCGGAAGTGCGACAACGATTGTTTGGAAAAAAAACCAAACGTGTAGAAAAAAAACCCCCCTCGCGTCGTTCGGTCTGACGGCTCGCTTCGCATTGTTCTGAAACAAAAAGAGACAAGACTAGGCGTTAAATACCTGTCAACATTAGTCACGTTGTGCGTCTCGCTTTATTCGGAGGGAGATCTCAGTCGCCGCTATACGTAGCTAAGCTAGTGGACTGTATGTGCAGTCAGAGATGCCAGAAAAGCACCGCCGCGTGCACACGCACACATGCCAGATACGCGTACGTGAGCTCGTGGAGTTTCGGAAAGTCGACAAAGGCATACTGACGCATGCCCTCTTTCTCGATTCTCCGAAGCTGCCCGAAGTAATTTCGGATCGCCTCGTGGGAGTCGAGAGAGAAAGGCTCACATTTGCCTTCTCGCTCTAAACAACTGAAATCCGACCTCCCGTCAACGGCATACGATTTGGATTCTCGAGCCGAGATTCTCGACTGCCCAGGCATTTTTACTTTCCGACCTATGTAGGCGCACATAAGCAAAGTACCCATAATGAAAAAAAAATTTTGTAAAATTTATTTTACGGAAATACACGTTTTAAGACCTCCTGATCATATTTTAATTATTGAAAAAAAAAGACATTTTTTTTATTCCCATGTATGAGCACACATATGTATATTATTAATACGATTTTTGAAAATCAAAATACTTTAAGATTGAAAATTAATAAATTAAAATGAGATTCCATTCTTTACCAGTATTGTGCACGCTGTGGTATTTTTCAATAAGAAGAGTTCTTACTTTTATAACATAAACAAAACAGTAGAATTAATAATTGCAGAAATTAATTAATAATGATTTTCCTCGATTGTTTTGAAATAACCGTATCAATTGGTTATGACGAACTAAATAGAACTAACTAGAAACAAAGGAAAAGTAATCCCGTTTGCCAGATTAATACAAAGTATGGGTTGTATCTTAAATTTTAAAAGCACATAGTCGAATATTTTTAAAGGTACAAAACATAGCGTTTCATTGTAGAACAGTAACATAAGTTAGCAGGTAATGTCATAAAACTGTTTTTCCCAGCATATCCCTTTTTACCTGAAGTATAAGGTAAAAAGTACGAGCTACAAGGTACGACTATCCGAAAATCGTTCACATTTTATCAATGTAAATGAAGCGGCCTTTCCATCAGAGTTAAATACAAAATTTTGTAATTTCTGTGAAAACAAAACTTTCAGTAAATGTACGTGGTGCTTGAAATTTTTATGTTTTGACTGTTTTTGTGAAAAGTACCATCCAGATTCATGTACTTCGTACATTGTAAATAACATATGTTAAATGTAATCGATTAAATTTAACTTTAAAAAAAATATTCGAAGGTCAGACAAAAATGTAATGTCATATTTAGTGTACGATTAAAGTATGATTGAAAAAATAAAAAAAAAAAGTTCAAGCAGGGTTCGAACCAGCAGAGCAGAAGAAGTTCGGAACTTGCAGGAAAAGACCTCATCACTCACGCCACGCTGATTAGTGGTGAACATAGTTCTATTTCTGAAAATAAGTACCTGTAATAACTTTAATAATATCTCAAAGTAAAACCTAACCCAAAACCTGGTACCATTCCAACTTTTCCTTGTTAGAAACGAGTTTTCAATTTGTCTTAGCGAAAATCGCAATCACATTTTGCACATTATTCTAAAACATTTGTGGTATTCGTTTTCAATGCGATTTAAGTAAGCATGTAATGTATAAGATTTCATTTAATGTTTTCTTTTCTAGAGAAGATAGAGAAAAAGTTTATATAATTTTTTATATATAAAATTTAATTCGTCCTAAGATTTATATGAAACATTTAAAAGATTTTTTATACATTATGCCTATATATCGGAACAACTATGAAACAAGAGGTATAATCTGTAAGGAGTGCATGTGTGTGGCTAGGAGAACCGTTATCGTTTGCGTCGATAGGAGTGTTTAGTCTAAGCTAGAGTAGGTATCGAGTGAGGTGTTTAGGTTTAAGCTGAAATACGTTTTAGAGACTGCGTCTCGAACGTGCGTTTTGTTTAGATCATTATTATAAAATAGGAATAAGGAAGGGTCAACTTTGACTGCAGGAACGTCACTCTGTATCGAACGTTAGTCGAGAGCAATCACAGTTTTACGATTATGAGCTTTTACGTTTACGTTTTATGTCTTTATTTTATGTTCTTTATGTTAAATAGTTAGTAAATATTAAATAATATAATTACATCGTTACGTTGAGTGTTCACGTATTTGAATCCGTCCACACGCCTTTCAAATGAGAACATAAAACTTAAATGTAAAGTTTCATTTAAATTCATTCAGCTATTTATATTCAATCGTATTAATAATATACATATGTGTGCTCATACATGGGAATAAAAAAAATTTCTTTTTTTTCAATAATTAAAATATGATCAGGAGGTCTTAAAACGTGTATTTCCGTAAAATAAATTTTACAAAATTTTTTTTTCATTATGGGTACTTTGCTTATGTGCGCCTACATAGGTCGGAAAGTAAAAATGCCTGGGCAGTCGAGAATCTCGGCTCGAGAATCCAAATCGTATGCCGTTGACGGGAGGTCGGATTTCAGTTGTTTAGAGCGAGAAGGCAAATGTGAGCCTTTCTCTCTCGACTCCCACGAGGCGATCCGAAATTACTTCGGGCAGCTTCGGAGAATCAAGAAAGAGGGCATGCGTCAGTATGCCTTTGTCGACTTTCCGAAACTCCACGAGCTCACGTACGCGTATCTGGCATGTGTGCGTGTGCACCCGGCGGTGCTTTTCTGGCATCTCTGCTGTAATCCAACCTTTCACCGAGCGAGCAGTTAGCGACCGACGCATTAGAAGCCCTCTCCACGGCAGAGACTTCGCGCATGCGCACCAGCGTCGCGCCAGTCAGAAGCGCAAATCGCGTCAACCGCGTGCTCTCTATCACGTGGAGTAGTCAACCATTCGTTTCATTTAGTCTGCAGCAAAAACCGGTCGACAACGGTCGCTACTTGATTCAGCCAATCGGGATTAAGCACAAGCACACACCGGTCAACAGCCTCTTGAGGTCCAACAACCATCAACGATTCAGGAGATTGCTATTCTTCATCCGGAACGCAGTCAGGCTTAACCCAGACTGTTGCTAACGATCCATCAGAACTCACCAAAGTCATGAAAACAGCGGAGGCACTGGAATCTGTCAAAATTCCGGAAACTGTTTCGGATTTGCACAAGGTATGTTATGTCCTGTTATTCAGCCAACTTAGATCAGCGTTGAAGCACGGCTGAGTTGAATAACAGCGAGGAACTTTTTGTGAATAGATTAGAGTTTTTTTTATTTCTTCTTATTTTTACAGATACAAAAGAAAACGCGGCGCGGGGGCCGACGCGGTCGAATTCGTCGGCTCGAACGAATGTCGCGTGAAGCCAGCCAACAACCTCTTGTGATCCAGGAACCAACAACAATCCAGGAGAATGCTATTCTTCGCGTGGAACCCAGTCAGACCATTACTAACAGCCCATCAGAACTCACCAAAGCCCTGGAAACAGCGGAGACATTGGAACCTGTCAAAATTCCAGAAACTGTTTCGGATTTGCACAAGGTATGTTATGTCCTGTTATTCAGCCAACTTAGGTCAACGTTGAAGCACGGCTGAGTTGAATAACAGCAAGGAACTTTTTGTGAATAGATTAGAGTTTTTTTTATTTCTTCTTATTTTTACAGATACAAAAGAAAACGCGGCGCGGGGGCCAACGCGGTCGAATTCGTCGGCTCGAACGAATGTCGCGTGAAGCCAGCCAACAACCTCTTGTGATCCAGGAACCACCAACGATCCAGGAACCAACAACAATCCAGGAGAATGCTATTCTTCGCGTGGAACCCAGTCAGACCATTACTAACAGCCCATCAGAACTCACCAAAGCCCTGGAAACAGCGGAGACATTGGAATCTGTCAAAGTTCTGAAAACTGTTTCGGATTTTTTCAAGGTACCGGTTAACGATCCCAGTGGGGCAACATATGTGGACATTCAGAGATTGTGTTATATGCTGTTATTCGGTCAGCTAAGGTCGATGTTGAAACTCGGTTGAGTTGAGTAACAGCGAGGAACCCTTTGTGAATAGATTAGTCTTTTATTTCTTTTTATTCTTACAGGTGACAAAGAAAACGCGGCGCAGATGTCGACGCAAACGAGTTCGTCGCCTCAAACGAATTTCGCTCGAAGCCAGCCAACAGCCTCTTGAGGTCCAGCAACCACCAACGATCCAGGAGATCGCTGTTGTTCACCCAGGACCCAGCCAGACCGTCGCTAAAGATCCATCAGGACTCACCAAAGCACTAAAATTTGTCAAAACTCTAGAAATTGTTTTGGAGTTGAACAAATTACCGGCCCACGATCCCAGTGGGTCATGTGTGGACAACATATTCAGCGGAGTCCCCACTCTTTCAGTAACAGAGGCATAAATCGTATGCAGTTTTCAACTCTTTACTATAATTAGAAAATGACAGAAAGAAAGTGATTAAATTTTTATCGCGTGTAAAAATATCAGTAATGAAACTGGATGATTCGAAATCCGAAAATCCCTAACGTAACACTTACAAGGTGAGCTGCTTGTAGTGGAAATCACTTTTGAAACTGTAGTAGATGCAAGTTATAGTACATACCTAGTATCAAAGAACCCTAAAGAGTTTCTTCAAAATAGGCCTTCGTTGTCGAGATATTTAAATTTAAAGAAGGAGTTGTGGGCAACTTGGTAGAACGGTTGACTACGAATTACAACATTAAAATGAAAAAATATTTTATTTATTTTTGTATTTAATGTTAATCCTATATGACATCAATATCAATTCTAAAACAAAACGTACTACCTCTAGATTGGTACTCAACTGCTCTACCAAGCTGCCCATAACTCGTTCAGCTGAAATGTGTTAAATAATTCATTTACTAGGTGCGTACAAAACTTAAATATCTCGAAAACGAAGGCTCATTTTGAAGAAACCTTTTATTGTTTTTTGATACTAGGTATGTACTATAACTTGTACCTATTACCGTTTCAAAAGTGATTTCCACTGCCAGAAGTTTAACTTGTCAGTGACGTCTCGACTTTAAATAAGTCGTAATGCGTCTGCCGAGAGATTGTCGAACTGTAGGTTCGGAAGCATTTATTTCGTTATTTTTATTGATTTGAAGGAATTGCGACTGTACATGCGTACAAAATCATTGTTTTTTTGTTTTTCGAAAAATAAAACGCTGACACTCTGGAAATGGGGGGGCTGGTAGTTTCCATTGGAATTTCCAAAAAGACCTTAAGTATACAGGGTGTTCGGCTACCTCTAGCAAAAATTTTAACGAGCGATAGTAGAGGCCAAAATAAGACGAAAATCAAGAATACTAATTTGTTGATGGAAGCTTCGTTAAAAAGTTATTAACAATTAAATTCAAAAATTTCAAATCATTCTGGAAAAATTATTTTCGGTTGCGGGGGTCAACTATAATCATTTTTGGTGAGTACACATACCTCCGAAATCCTATCTACTTTCGAGAAAAAAAATCGAGTAGGTGCTGAAATTTTTCGGCGAAAAAAAATTTTTCAAATCGTTCTAAAAAAATTATTTTCGGTTGCGGGGATCAATTACAATCATTTTTTATCATTACACATACCTCCGAAATCGTACGCACTTTCGAGAAAAAAATTCCTTACTGAAAATCCAATTAGGTGCCTAAATTTTTCAACGGAGAAAAAAAATTGCAAATCGTTGTGGAAAAATTATTTTCGGTTGCGGGGGTCAATTACAATCAGTTTTTGTCATTAGACATACCCACGAAATCCTGCCCACTTTCGAGAAAAAAAATAGAGAATGTGTGAAATTATTCGAGAAAATTAAAAAATTGCAAATCGTTGTGGAAAAATTATTTTCGGTTGTAGGGTTCAATTGCAGTCATTTTTGGTGAATAGACATACCCCCGAAATCTTGCGCATTTTCGAGAAAAAAATTCAGTAAGGGCGGCACTTTAAACGTTAATAACTTTTTAACGAAGCTTCCATCAACAAATTGGTATTCTTGATTTTCGTCTTATTTTGGCCTCTACTATCGCTCATTAAAATTTTTGCTAGAGGTGGCCGAACACCCTGTATAGTTGAATAATAGGCCATTAAAGTTAATCTAAAGTGATGTAAATAAAAATTCGCTTTATTACTACATTTATTTAATTTCTTTTTACAGACTCTGACATTTAAAATATGTTTAAATGCATTAAAAGTGGCTCCGACCCTTTCATATAAGTCGTCTTTCGAGTTATATGTACCATACACAAAAACATATAACCTACAAAAGAAATATCATTTATTAATAATTGTCCTTTAATATAATGCTTTACTCCTGTATAAGAGATTTATCTGTTGCAAACAAGAATTAAGTTTCCTTAATTATTATTGAATTCTCGTTATATATTAGTTTTAATTTTTGTAAATAATCATATGCAATTTAAACCTTAATATCAATTGATTTACTTGTATTAATACACTTATATAATTATGAATTTATGCATTCGTTTTTATTTCTCATTATTATCTTTCAGATTTTAAGTTTGCAATTGTGTACTGTGTTGCGTATTTTATATTATTATATTTAGACTGCACTATACAGAGGTGAGTCTTGTAACATGACGATTTCAAATAACTTATAAATTATTTGTTGTACAAAAAAGTGTTTCAGATAAAAGTTGTATGGTTTTTAGAGGAGCATGTAGTGCTGTAATCGGTTTTATGTTCTTTTGCTTTTTTATCAAGATATGAAGGATTCTTAATTTTTTAAATGAAATTGTTAATAGTTTTTCCCAAATGTAGACAAAACATTAAATTCTACGCAAAAATAGTTACCGAAATACTGGAAAAAATAAATTATCTTGTATTAGAAAATTTCATGTTAATCAACGTGATTGTTAATACAATGCAGTAAAGCAACTCTGTTTATGACTGTCGGTCATATTGGTAAATCATCAACCAACTAAAAATGAGCTTAATAAATGTAAAGTCGTACATAAGAAAGGTCTTACATATAATCGTTTATAGTGCATGCGATGAAAATGTAGCACTAGTATCTCAGTAACTATTTATTTTAAACTCTATTTGGTATAATACTTTTTACGTAGAATTTAATGCTTTATCTAAATGTGGGAAGAAATATTAACCATTCTATTTAAAAAGCTGAAAGTGACCTTCATATCTTGATAAGAAAATAACATAAGAGCGATTATAGTACTAGATGCTCTAAAAACATACAAATGTTATCTGAAGCATTTTTTTGTACAACAATAATTTAAAAGTTATTTGAAGTCGATCATGTTACAAGACTCATCCTGTATGTATTTCTATATGTTATCTACTTCTGGAAATACACTAAATTGTAAAGTGGGAAATATTTAATTAAGACTGGCTTGGTACGACTAGCAATCCTAAAAATAATTTTGTTGTAACAGTCCTTAAATTAGATATTTGTTGTCGTAAATAGATAAAATATTTAATTCTTTTGTTAAGTAGTTATGTTTAAGTATTTAAATCTTAAGTTTTTGTTAAATGTTAGGTTTTTAGCATTTTTTTTAAAATAAAAATTTATTATCATTTATTTGTTAGGTATATTCCTAGCAAACGGCCCGTTCACCGATCCAGGTGAGTTATACGTCATTCGATTCGTCTAATTCAATACATTATTGATATGCATTTCATTATCTGCGGAAATTCGTTATTTTTTTATAAACTTGTCGTAAAGTTACAGTAAAAAAGTAAGGTTAAGTATATTTTGACATGTCCACAAGTGGAAACAAGTGACTGTCGTTACTCTGTTCAAAATGCTAGGTAGTCAAATGCTAATTTGTTAAACATTTATTGAATGAAATTTCTACTATTTCTGCTAATATTTCATTGAATAAATCACCATTTTTCTATTAGGTACATTTACTAAATACATAATGGCTCAGGCATTCAATGAAGTTACTCTTCTTAAAAATATAAAATATTGATAGTATTATATGTTATAAAAAAGATTAAAAAATGTGTAGCATGCCTCCAAGTGGTTTCAATTTAATTCGTGTAAGCGTCAGTAATGGGATCTTCAAAACTGACGCTGTGATTAATTTTCAAGCGACCTCTGTGATATTTTCTATGACAAAATGTTGATTCATCGATCTCGACAATCTACTCTACTCTTCCAATTGCTGAGCAGTATTTTTATTTAATTTTAGTTATATAATAATATGACATTGCTCATAATTATATGTTAGTATATATGTTAATTTTAAAACATCTATAGCCGAGTTTGTTTTTAGAAAACCACGTTCTTTGCTTTGCAAATATCTTTATATTACAATGTCTTTTACGTTTAGTTTGATCGACAGATCCTGGAATAGTTATCCTGCATTGCCAATTTTCATAACATTTCCACATTGCAGATAGTACAAGAAACAGAAGAAAAGCAGAAATTGTTTCAGTAATCATTTGTTTCGACTGTCATTTCTGATTTTCTTCTGTTTCTTGTACTTTGTGAATTTTGTTCAACTGTGCTATAAAAATGACCGAATTAGTAGTTCCAGAAGTGTGGACCTTATTTAAATTGCACGAATTTTGTAAAAATAAAGAAGCTTTATTAAAATTTTTGCAAGATAAAAAGTTGATTGCCAAAAATCTTAATTGTCCACAGTGTGGAAACGTAATGAAATTAAACAATGAAAATTGGCATTGTAGAAAAACAATTGCAGCATCTCTTAGTGCTTGCAAACGAAAGCGAACTTGTGATGTAAAAATATGTGTAAAACGTGAAACGTGGTTTTCAAAAACATAGCTTTCTTATGAAATGGTATTAAAATTAACTTACATGTTAGTCCATAATTTTGATCAATATCAGATTGTACGAGAATTACAATTGAATAAAAATACTGTTTCTCGATGGAATTATTTTGTAAAACAAGTTATGACTGATTGGCTACAACATTCGTGTGAAGTACTTGGCGGACCAGGCAAAATAGTAGAAATAGACGAATCTAAGTTCGGATGAAGAAAATATCACAGCGGTCATCGTGTAGAGGGACAATGGGTTTTTGGAGGAATAGAAAGAGGAAGTGGAAAAATATTCCTGGTGCCTGTTGAAAGTAGGGACACAGAGTCCCTGCTTTCAATAATTAAACAATGGGTGTTGCCTGGCACAACAATTATTTCAGATTGTTGGAAGGCCTATAACATCTTAGAGAAAGAGGGGTACAAACATCTTACCGTAAATCACAGCTTACATTTCAAAGACCCAGAAACAGGCGCTCATACAAATACGATAGAAACTACGTGGAGGCATAGTAAACACTTTTTGCCTGAATATTGTCGGTTAGTATTTGTAATTTTGCACGTTTTTTAATATTTTCTGTAACATATAATACCATAAAATTTTCTATTTTTAGCAAAAAAGATAATTTCATTGGGTATTTAAGCCACTACGTATTTTACAAATTTTCCAAGCAAGGAAAGGATGATTTATTTAACCAGCTATTAAAAGAAATTGCAGAAATTTCATTTGATTCTACAGAAAACCAAAATATACCAGACCTAGATGATAATGAAATTTAATAATAAAAAAAAGTTAATCCAACGCATTGCATACAATAGTAATTTATTATATTCTCTACCCGTAAACACTGTTGGGGAGAGGAATTGTTGCGGCACATACTGTCTACCTGATCGACTCATGCAAAGTCTGTCCGTAACAAAATGATTTTTATGCATACGCATTCTACAAATTTCCGTTCGGCAATGTAGCATTATCAAATTAGATCAATCATTTATATTTGTAACATGAACATAGCAACGATAGTCACTTGTTTCTATCTGTGAACCTGTCAAAAAATGTACCTAACCTTACTTTTTTACTGTAACTTTACGATAAGTTTATAAAAAAATAACGAATTTCCGCCGATAATGAAATTCATATCAATAATGTATTGAATTAGACGAATCGAATGATGTATAACTCACCTCGATCGGTGAACAGGCCGTTTGCTAGGAATGTTCCCATTAAACTTTACACAATGAAAACCACTTTGATTTTAATCATTAATTTCTTATAACTCAGTAAAAATTTAAATTTCGAATGCAGCGTAGCCAGTGATTGAAAGCACTCATACTCAACTTACACTCAAAATTTGTTACAATCGGCATTGCTCCTTGAAATCAATACGTTTGTGACATATAGTATACAGGGTGTTCGGCTATTCCTGGGAAAAATTTTAATGCGAGATTCTAGAGGCCAAAATAAAACGAA